AAAGATTTTATATTTTAAGTCTAGTACTAAGAATAAGAACTCAGACTAACTAAGTGCTTAATAAAAGCAAACCCAGTGTTTTATCTGTGGTCTAAACCTACTAATTAGTAATTTTTACAAGCTATAAATATCAAAACTTTTAAGTTTTTGTAATATATTTACTAATAGATTTATATTAAAGTATTATTATTGGTTTAATTAGTATTTGCTATCTTACTATGATAATTAAATACTATATTTAAATATAGTTATATCAATAAAGCTTGTATTATTTTAATAAAAAAAATAAAATTACTATATTTTATTATTTTTATATAGTACAAAATATTTATACTTGACAATTATTTTAATTTTCAAACTGCTAAATCTTTTTATACAAGAAATTTTTTAAAAAACTAGCCAGTAATTTTATAGAGCTATATAAGCTTTATAAAATTTTTGTATGAAAAGTTTTAGCAGTTTGAAAATTAATATTAAAATACTGTATTAAGCTTTCTATATACTGTATATAAAATAAACTTTAAACAAACTTTAAAATGCTAAAACTTTTACAAATATATTATTTTAAAAATCTGACTAGTAATTTTGTAGAGCTCATCATGAAGAACAAAGTTACTAGTCAGATTTTAAAAATATTGTTTGTGTAAAAAGTTTTAGTATTTCGAAAATTATTGTTAAGTATAGATATCTTGCACTATATCTATATTTTTATAGTTATCATAATGGATGTTTAATAAATAATTTTTATCCGGCAAACTCATATGATCATGAAAAAATTTCTTTTTGTTATTTTTTTCATTTGTTACGATGTAATTATGTTTATTCCAATATTCAAAATTAAAACTCAGCGAGCGACTCCCTACCAATCATGATCATAAATTGCCGGATAACACCAATATTGGGCAAATTGTCGAATACGGTAATTTGACAAATGATTGGCTACACGTGCCGCAAAGCGGCACGTGCTCATTTGCCAAATTACCGTTATTCGACAATTTTTTCATATGAATTTAGTGCCATTTTCTAATTTTTTCTAATATATTCTTATCTGAATATTTGTAATATAGTACTACTATTGGTTAATAATGCTATACACAGTGATTCTTGATATAACAAACTCTCAATATAAAAGAGACCAAGTAAATTTTGCTTGGTATAACGGATTAATTGATTTTTCTCTAATTGCCCAAACAGTAAATTATCAGTTATATCAAGAGTCACTGTGTATTGTTATTGATTTGATAATAACGAACACAGTACTTTATAATGTTTAAAAGATAGCATAAATGGCAACTACTCACCTATAAACCTGAATTATTAATAAATAGCGATCACGCAACGATTTTAATAGGCTCCTTATGCAATCAACATTGACTATGAATTAGTATTAGGGATGTTAAAAGTCCGATCCTAGTTTGTCCTTAAAAAGTCTGGTTTTGAACTAGTTAGAAAACCCTGTCTGAAATCGTACCAAATCTAGCGTTTAATATATGATACGATAGTTGACGAACATTATAGTATTAACCAATCAGGATCGTAAGGTTATGGGACTTTCGAACTAGTTCTGAACTGTCTCTATAAAGTTCGGTCCCAGGCCCAGTCCTATCGTTATTGAAATCAGATCTCATTAATAAACCCAAATATTGATACAATACCGTATGCAAAGTTAGGTTCATTAATATCATATTATATATATACTAATAATAGCACAATCAATTTGAATTAATGGATTATTTTAAAAAGTGCAGTTCAGAACCCGAACCTTAATTTACTCCATAGTTTTTGTAGCGTATCTGGTATGGTACCTTCAGGTCTTGGGAATGGACCAGATGGTACATACCATTTATAACGATATATAGAAAATAAGGATACTTAATATTAGCTTTACATGCAGTAAGACACATTGTTTCATGTCATACTATATGCCGTGTCAAACGAACTAAATCACATGGAGAGAGACTAAGGCCAAATTTTTGTTTATCTTAAAAAACGCCCAGCACGTGTATAAGACTTATGAATGTGAAATACATAAATATTATAACCTACGTTCTTGTGTATAAAGCATTCACACGAGAATCTAATTGTAATGTTACCAAATTGGTGAAAAAAGTACATGATATATGCATTAGCACATTAAGGGTTCGCATGTACGTACGTACGTACGTAAAGTACGTATAAGCAAGAACAGCGCGTCTTTGTCAGAAATAAGCATATGATTATTGTTTATAGAATTAAAATAACGAGACAGAATCAGGGATGGCGTGTCGGGGAATAGAAGGAACACATTATATTGTACTGTACAGTACGTTATGAATGATATTTAGAAAGGAATCACCAAACCAGGAAAGTCCAATCGTTTAAGCTCCAAATACTCCAAAATGAGAAAACTAAAAGAGATCATGCAAAAATTTATTATGAAAAGAATTACAGCGCAATAATCGCGTGTACATATTCATTGTTAAATGGGTTAGCAAAACTCTAAAAATTAAGATGGTTAATTAATGTATCACACCCTGCGATTTTTTATATATATAAAAAAATATCATAAGGTAGGACATCGTGAAACCATTTTTAAATTATATAAAAATTTAATCATAAAACCATTAATTTTGAGCTACACTGTGGTAATGACAAGCAGAACTGATATGCAGAGTGCACCGATCCTGACTAAATTTTGATGACTAATTTGATGTCTTAGCACGAGAGATCTGAAACAAATTAAAAAAAAAAAAAAAAAAACATATAACATTGTTTTAAATTTATCATTTTTGGCTTAAAACATCTTTTATATATTCTATAATGCCTTGATTAGAAAAGTCTCTTATGAGGTTTCATATTAGCTTGGTGTTACAATCGTCCACTAGATTTGTTTATGTACGCCAAAACAGCGTCATTTGACTGCGGTATTATTGGATCACACGATCATGATTGGTTAACAAAATTACCAATAATAGTAACACATCGTGAGAATGCATGACGATCTTTTCTATTGTCATACTTTAACCAGTCTTATTAGTCATGCGTTACAGAATAAAAAGGGTTGTTTTCTCGTGAAAAGAAAAAAAAATTCGCGATTAGTTCGCCAAACTTATCTTCAGTTCTTTTGATTTGATTTGTAAACACCTTTGATCATATAATAATTTTTTTTTCACAATGGATTATTCAGAAAAGAAACTTGTAGAACTTAGGGAGTTATGTGGCGGTATTGTAGAAAACAAAACATAATATATATAATAATATTATAATAATAAATAAATAAAAAATTTAACCTCTTAATACTAATGAATCTTTCTCATTTTTTAAGCCCGTGGGATTTCAACTATTGGTGCAAAATCTATACTGATAGAAAGATTATTGCAATCTGATCATGAAAATATAAAGAAAGAGAATAAAGAAGTAGACTTAGCTGTCGTTCCTACTATACAACCATCGGGATTTTTACAAGTATCAGAAACCGAAATTTCTCAAGGATCTAAATTTGAGACTATGGAAACTATTTCTCAAGAATCATTTTCACCATTAGAACTATCAAAGATGTCAGTAGATCTAGATAGTTCTAATGTGATTAAAACAGAATCGATAAAAGACTTCGTTGAACAGCAGGAATATGATCTTCCTGTAACATCATCTACACCTTCGGTTACAACATCACCAATACTTCAGCATGCTACAGATTCAGTATCTGTATCTACAACACCTAATCCAACACATGTTGTACCATTTGAAACTTCATGTAATCAATCTTTTTCATATGAGAATCCTCCATATCACGGAGATAATTCTTCATATGAAATTGATCATGAGCTTTTGGCTCGATTAATGTCGGAAAGAAAGCAATATGATCGAAATATGAGTTTGAACGGATCTAAATTTTACAACAAAGGAACCATGAGTCAAAATCGTCTTAATCATGGTGTACAATATAACTTTGATTTATTAGTGGAGATCGTACAACATTCTGTGGTTTACAATGATGGTGAAATACCCTATTGGTTACGAGATTCATATGACAAGACTTATGGTACGTCTGAATGGGGGGAATCTGATATTGTAGTAAATCCAGGTATAGCAGTTGAACAAATATTCTTGGTTTGATATTTAATATAGTGAATTAGAATTTTGAATGGTAAATTTTAATTATTATATTTATAATATTTTATTATCAATATATCTTTGTTAACAATAATGTCGTTTTTTCTTTTTAGGTAAAATATGCAATTTTCTATTCTAAATTCTAAATATAAATATAAATATATAAATTTTCAATTTGTCTAATCACAAATGTAAAAAAACATAGCTTAAGTAAAAGAAAAAAAAAAAACAATATTAACTGATAAATTATTTGTCGTGTTATTCCTTACGAATATTTTACATTATAGCAATTGAGAAATCTAATTGTATCTTTAGATTTGATTCTAAAGAGTATTTTCCTTAAATTTTGTTAACCCACTAAAAAATTGTGAAATATATTCTATTTCTACGCGTTTCAGTTCTTTATTATTATATAGATATACTGTATAGTAGTTTAATAAAGTAGTTTATATTCAATGTTTGAATTTCACAGATAACACTTTAAAAAAATAAACCTGTAT